GTAATAAGAAGTTATCTTTACATCTGACACAAGGACACGTTATGAATCGGTTTATGGAAAAACTTTTGAATTTTGGATGCATCTGTGGGATTTCTTCATACACTCTATTTAGCAGACACATCTGTTACTCCAATATATATATTTCATATAAATCTCACTCTCTGAATCCTTTCCATCAGTTGTCACTAATGAAGCTTTGTGTGCAAAACCAAGTGCATTCTGCCCCCATTAGGAAGCCAATTACAGCAGGAAAAACAAGCAATTAACAAGGTGTAAAATAAACATCCTGCCACCTGCCTTTTAATAGCAACCCCACTTCAAACAAGTCACAGTTGCAGCACAGCTCTCAGAATTGGCAACTGATATTATATATGTATTTATGCAGCAGCTGCTCTTCATTGCAATGAATATTACAGGCTTACCAGATAAGGTCAGCATATTTAAAAAAAAATATACAGCAAGTATTAAAACCTGCTTTGAGGCTCCAAATGTTGCTTTTAATGGAATCAGCAGCATCAGGCTTGTCTGGTATTACAGTGAAGCTGCAGCCACATCCCCAGCTTAGAGAGGTTTCTCTTCATTTCTACTTGCTTAGCAGCTTCTGTATTCATTTCACTAAATCCAGGGGCCTAGGCAGCTATTAAACAACCTGCAGGACAACTAAACAACACACAGCTCTACAGAGTAGACACGACTTAGCTCCTTTCATCATCCCTGCCTCTCCCCTCTTGGTGTTCTCCACCTTCCTCCCAGCAGCTATATACAACCAGGAGGGCACATAACTGAAGTAGGGAGCAACCCACTCAAAAACATCAAGGGGGAAACAAAACAAGCTTAGTCTTTGGTCCTTGAGCCTGCAAGCTTTTGAGGGAAAGGAGGGAAGTCCTTCCTAATTCATGTGTGCTGCCTAGCATGCTAGGTAGCTCCAGAAGGAGCCAGCTTTCTTTTTGTTTTGTGGAATGCAATGAATGACACTTCTGAGTAGTTAGCTGGGACTAGAGAAGGCCCAACAGTTAATCTGCAGGATTTGGTAGACTTGGAGTGTAGAATGTACCTGACAAAAGAGCCGCCAAGCTTTGTCTTGCCTTTTTTTATCTTCCCCTCTCACTGTCTCTCTGCTGCTACATATTTATTTGTTAGTTTTTCCATGTTACATTGCATGTCCTCCTCTTAGGGTTTTTCTCCCTGGCTTTGTTGAGATGTGAGGAGTATCACACTGAACATGGTGCCAGGAACTTGCCATCCTGTACAGGATTCTGAGGTGTCAGTCAGAGCCAGCAGAGCTATCCACAGGTTTATAGAAGGTTGCAAGACATGATCAATAGTACCAAAACAATCCTTCACTGAAAACCTCTACTAAAAAGCCCTGAATTTAAATAACATTTCACTACCTCTGAACACAACTGCTACCTAACTGGCAAATCGGATCTTAAAAGCCTCAAGTCTTAAATTGTGATAATCTACATGTATGCAGAAACTAGCAAAGTCAGTAGAAGGGGAACAACTATGGAAGGTGAAAAGCAGTGAAAGGTGAAGAGCCTCAAGACTCACGAGGATGTACACCAAAATTTGACCTACAGCAACCCATGAAGTAAATAAATAAATAAATACATACATTTCTCAGCCACTGGTTTCTCACGCTACCAGTACAAGTGCAGAGATCCCACGACTCCTTCCTACAGCCCTAATTACAGAGACAAAGTTACAAAAGACACAATCTGCCAACATGAGCTGCAGGAGGTCATATGGCCACTCAAGCTACTAAAGTATTTTAAGAGTAGTTCAGTAAGTCAGGTCATTTAACTGACTTTTTGTTCAGTTTTAAACATGTAGCAATATTTTCCCTTACATTTTATGGATGGGAGAGGAAGCAGGACCTACTCCTTAGTCACCAGTGTAGGATTTCAGTACTCATCACTAACAATGCCACAAAGTGGTCATGCCTAGATGACTTTTGTGGATCTAAATCCACCAAGAAATGCCAAGTCTCAACCCAACAGTGACGGTGGGACAAAACATTATCAGCCTTCAAAAGTTGTTCAGATCACAGTAAGAAGTCCTGTACTGCATTAACCAATAAGTGGGATATATTATCTGCAATGCCCCACCACAAAGCCTCACATGACAGAAGCTGTTCCAGAAGTGTATCAGAAAAGTAGTCCATTGTTCTCAAACATACTTCTATTTGGTTAGTTCTAAGGAAGCCTTTTCTGCTCAATGAGGAGGAGCGCTCTGATGGGTTTCCTGAGCAGCAGGCTGCCTGAAGGCACAAAGAATCAGCAGTTCAGGGACTGTTGCTTATTGAAGATGGCAAGAGACCAGAAATGGAACTAAAATTTCCTGTGAGAAAGACCTATGCAGTTGTAGCTGCAGTTCTAGGAGATAGGACTCCGATTCCTGCAGTTCTTCAAAGAATGTTTAAAGAGACCAAATTCTCCAATTCTTCCAGTCCTCATCCCTCTTCAGAAAGATGGCTGAAGAGTCTAGATACTTTTGTATTTTGTATATTTAGTATTTGACTAAATACTAAACTGCAACAGCTGAGTGTCACTCTGCAGGCAACCTAATCACTGTTAGCTACAGTCTGTAAGACTGTGACTCCTGATAGTCACATGCATGCACATCCTCTCCCAGCGAGTATTTTAAACAGACTTCTGTGGTTTGGCAAAAGGTCAGATTAAGCAGAGGGTACACAAAGTTGAGCAGAGAATATTCTCAGTATCTAGCAGTCTCTCCAGGTCATACATCATAAAAATGCTTACATTTTCTGGGATCAAAGATGCTACAGCCATAAAAGACCAGCCAAAGCAGGTTATCCGGGAAAGAAGTAACAAAGTCATAGTATTACTGTGAGAACAAGCTGAATAAATTTTTCTTTGAAAAGGATGCAAAGCAAAGACAGATACAAGAACTAGGTCTGAAAGTTAAAATCCAGTTGTTTTCAAGAAATAAGCAACCACATTTCTACAAGGCGGCCAATAAGACACTATTCTACATCTCACGATGTGGCTCTGCCCCCAAGCCTCCATGACAGCCCCTCTTTCTCACTCCCACTTGCAAATTCCCATCTCCAAACACAAATGTCTTTCACTGCAGAGTTCAGTAAGAAAATTCCTTTGGAGACCTAGTGCTGAAAATGCATCAAAGAACAATCTCCAAAATCCACACTCCCCCCAAATAAATAAATAAATAAATCAAAGGAGAAAAAGAAAAGACAGTTTGGCTCCCTCTGGCCTACAATAACAATAATTATAATAATCTAGAGATCGCAGGAGGTTTCATCTACCCTCCATGCCAAGTAAATTCTCTCCATTCACAACTGCTTATAATTGTTCCTGGGACTGCAAAAATTAGTCTTTTCAGTAGCTATCACAATTGTAAAAATGCTTTCAAACAACTTCGAACCCTTATTTGTTAGAATCAAACTATGTGCTCTTTTACAGTTCAAGTTAGGTCTGGCATTTCTGTGCAGAGGGTCAATAATCCAGTCATTCAAAAAATAGTCACGAAAGACGTATTAACATAAGCTGTGCATTAAGACACAATTATTTATACGCCTGGCAGTAATGGCTCTGCGCTGTGCACTCTACCAACTCACAGACACTTTAGCAGGAAAATAAAACGCTTTTGGAGAATTTCTGCTCTGCCCAAGGAAATTAACATAACGCTAACGCTGTAACGAGAGAGCAATAAGGACTGATGGCGTTCAGGCTAATGCTTTATCCCAGAGCCTCCAGAACAGCAGTGACTGTCCCTGAAGTTTCCAGCCACCGCAGCATGCTTCCCTATGTGTGCTAAGCACACACAGCCTCCTGACGCCTAATGCTTCCCCAGTCCTTAGATTAATGAAATACAAGTAAACAGTTTCAAGATGCATTATCCTCTGCTACCAAACCTCTCCTGCTTGGGGTGCCAAACAAAACCGGTTGCTTTGCCTGCAACCGGCCGTTGCCTCCCGAGCAAGGGGAACTTCCTTGCTCCTCAGGTAGGGGGGAAACGCTCCTTTTGGCGCAGGCTGCGCCTGTGCCACTGCCCTGAGCAGCAGCGATGCCCCGAGGGCACAGTCACCTCTGCTGAACAGTTCATTTTAGTTTTAGCCGTGCACAGGGCACAGCGAGACGGAGCAACACTCAAACGGGACAGCGCCAAGCCCAATCTGACCCCAGAGTTAAGAACTCCCAGCAAACCAGCAGCCACGACAGCGCCCACAGCTCGACCGGGACTCGAGGACGAGTTTGCCTTCAAAGAAGCAAACACTGTCCGGGCTGTGCAGGACACCCAACAGCCCTTGGGACGGGAGGAGGGAGAGCGGAGCGGGTCGCACACAGGCGCTCCTGCCTCCTCCCGCCTGAGAAGAAACAGCCCCAAAGGAGCACTGTGCTCCCTCCCACAGGCGCGACGCGGCGACAAGGCAGCCGCCAGCCGAACACTGGGGACGTCCCGACCGGATCCCATCACGGCACCCACCCCCGCCCCCAGCGGGCTCTGCCTGGGGAAGGACAGGCTCTCCAGCCGCGGAGCCATGGCGGGCACCGCCGCCCCTGCCCGTGAGAGAGCGGACCCCGGCGTGGTGCCCAGTCCCACAGCCCTGCCCGCCAGGGTTCTCCTCATGCTCTCCCCCTTCGTCAGAGAGCGCTGGCGGGTGCCGGGCTACAGCCACCAGTTGCGCTTCCCGCCCCGGACGGCTCCGGTACCTCAGCCAGGATGGGATGAGAAGTCTCGCCGCTGCAAAAGCCGTTTCGCAATGCAACAAGTGCCCACCCGACCGGGGACGGGAAAGAGGAGGAGCCGGGGCGGGCGCCGCGCTCCCTCACTCGGTAGCTCTCGCCGCCGGTGCCGCCGCTCCGCGCTCCCTGCGCCCCAGCTGCCGCTCAGGGCGCCACACGCGAAACGCGAAAATAAGCCCGCCCCGCGCGCCAACTCTCTTGAACTGCCCGGGACGCCGTACTCCAGGCCGCTACCATCTGCCCGCCCTGCGCAGAAAGAGGGGTGCGCCGGCCCGCCTCCCGCCCCGCCGCTGTGTCGGCCCGCCCTGAAGCGGAGCGTCTGCCCCCGCCTCGCCGCACTGGTACTGCCCGGGCAGGCGTTACGGGAGCGCGGAGGAGTTGTTGGGGTTCGGTAAGAGCCGCTTCGTAGGGCTACAGTTCTGTTGGTGCTTCAGAACGGGAGCTTCCTCGCCCCCATGGGGTGGTGATCGTGGCGAACCAGTACCGGCTTCCCCTGGCCCTACACCCGTACATCCCTCCCCGGGCCTGTTTCCGCCGCCGCGGGGCAGGCGTAATGCGCTGCCGGGCTAGGGCCTCGCCGCTGCTCTCCTGGTCGCAGGGTGCGTGTTGTCTAGCCCACGCCGCCCTGGCCGGCTCTGCCTGCCGCAGGAGCGATGCGGGCCTGGCCGCGGTGGTGAAGCGCAGCCTGATGGCGTTGCACCGCTGTAATTCGGCACGTCCGTACTGCAGGCTGTCTTCTCGCTGTCACGTAGGGCCTTGAGCTGCTGATGGAGGCGTCGACAAGTCCCGTGTTTCTTTTCTTATGTTTGAATATTAACTAGTAGTCATTTTGCAGAGGTGTGAAACTGTTTGTTTTTTTTTTTAACGTTACAGCTACACTGCAAGAATGATCATCCCAGTCAGATGTTTCACATGCGGAAAAATAGTTGGAAACAAGTGGGAAGCCTATCTTGGCCTTCTGCAAGCAGAGTATACAGAAGGGTGGGTATTATTTCTCTATGTTCTTTGAGTCAGGTGTTAGATGAGATCGCACAGCGCATAAGATACGTAAGTGCAGGGTCATGGCATTATGAAGTAGCTGTGAAGAGGCTAAAAACTACTGGTAAGTTCTGAAGCTAATGATTTAACCAATGGTTAGACATTATAATCGGTGAGAAAGCACTTGTTTCCCTACTGAATCTTTCTCTGTAGTAGGATGGAATTTGCCAAGTCATAACTTTTACACTCAAACCAGTCTCAAATACTTAACTCTGTATGGAACAGGAAGGAAAGTAACAAGCAGTATAGCCAACTATGACACCAGTATGTTTTGTTTTTTTTTTAAAGGCGGGAGAAAGGAGTCACAAGTGTAAGAAGTAGCACTGTTAAAAATGTATACACCTTTTAGGTTTTTTTTAAAGCATTGTGTGTTTGCTATGCAGAACTGCAGACCTTACTTGAAAGCACTGGTTTGCAGATGGGGGAAGGAGAAGTTCAGCTACTTCAGATGCCTGACTGATACTCCCAGCAACTGTGTTTTCAGTAGTCTGGGCTTTGCATAGCCAGACTTTTAATCTGTGCTGGCCAGAGCTCATGCTAGTGGCATAGTCTACCATGTCTTTAAGTCATAATAGTTCAAGGAGGGCCTAGCTATGATGGGACTACTTCAGAAAGGTTTCACAAGATAACTCTTGAGAAATCTTTACACTGTCATTGAGTTTAAGTAGGAAAGAAAACACAGATGTTTGTAATTCAAAGGAATGGAAAAAGAAAGTGTTAGAAATTCGAGTAAACCTCCTGAAGTGATGCTGAAACTGTTAAATAGAAGGGAGTATTTGCTTTGCATTCAAATGGTTAGGGTTAGTAATAGGTTTTTAAACAGACTGATATCTTATGAACTTTCAGAAGAGTGTCTAATACAAATTTCACTGCCTTTTTTCCAAAGTAAATCTGAAAACATTCTTGTGGTTTAGGATACTGTTTTGTCAAATGTTAAACACGGGAGCACAGAACAAAGCGTAGTTTTTTGAGCCTAATCTAAACTTGTAGGAAGGTGTGATTATTCTCCGTGCTTCTTATTGCTTGATGTGGAGTTTGCAGCGGAAAGAAGTTTCATTAAAAACTGTCCAGTGAAATACCATTCAGTAGTTCTCCTAAATGTCATTACTTCTGTGGGTGTCTTTTTAGAGTGCATTTACATCCCAGAACCTGTCAAACCTAGCTGAGTAGAAGATTGCAGTGGCTAAACTAAAGGTATTTGGAAAGTCCTACTGAAAAAAATTATTTTTCTTTTCATTCATGGAGTTAAAAGCATTAAAATAGTGTGGGAAGCGAATCATTTCTCACTAATACTGAAAGTGATCAGAACTATTTTGGCATCACTTTTGACTTATTTTCCAAGTATTACATTTTAATATTTTTCCTGTCTTCATTATTTCTCTGCTTTTGTGTGGGACAGGAAGATGTACATTGTTACTGATGAGTGCTCACTTGAGAACTATTGCTATAGTCACTGGTGTGATTCTGGGATGCCTGTTCAAACTAATGCATTTATGAGATTGTAAGATCAGAAGCAGAGTTTACAGATATTGAACAGTTTAAAAACTTGTAGTGCAGTGTCAGCATCCCTATTAATTGTGACTAAGAAATGGACAGACAAAATGGAAAAAATAACCATGTCTAAGTAATTTGTGGTTAAAAAAGACCCACACCTTTCCATTTGTCCCTTAAAATTGCTCTTCTTCCAAAAGCTCTAGAAGAAAAAGGAAAAGCTAGAAGGGAAAAGCTAGAAAAGAAGCTAGAAGGGAACGGGAAACACAACTGAAGTTGTTTTAGCCGAAATGTGTATATAGTATGAATTCTAAAGATGTGATTACTGTCAGTATTTTGCATCTCTGATAACTGCATTTGAAAGTTCAGTATTTACCAGATACCTCTTAAAAACTTACATCTCAACAGACATCAGATGCTTTCGTTCTCAAGTGGTTTGGAACATTTAAATATTATTTATAAAAAATCTTTTTCTAAAAATATACTGTTCATACTTCTTAAATAACTTTTGCACGTGCTAGTCCTAAAACGAATAGCCCTGCTCTTTAAGCCCTTGAAGAACCGTTGAAAGGTACAAGAACTAATTGATGTCATCAGAGAAGCTGCTTGAACCCGAACAACCTCTTCCATGGCCCAGCTTATGCAGAGCCTTCTTTTCAGTCATTTGTACTTAGAACTGTCAGTTTCTTCCTATAGCAGAATTGCAGGCTTCAGGAAGTAATACTGGTTTTAAGCAAATGCTGGATTTTTGCACTGCATCATACAGATCTAAAGACGAGTCATATTTCGTGAATGTCAGATTCTGAAGGAGTATCAGATTGGCTTTATGGTTAATAGGTTGGAGCTAAAGAGCATGGAAAATGTCAATTATCTTTAAGAGGTCTGATAGCAATGGCCGTTGAAGACACATACAGTTGTTCAGGCTAGGATGACTCATTTTCACTACCCAACCATAAGAGTCTCAAGCAGTAACTCAGAAGGAATTAAGTGGAAAGACTGTATTGAGCAGTCTGCACATCCTTATTTGTGTATTTGTGGGGAACAGGTTGTAACACAGAATGCCTTCTTATATGGGAACTGGAAAGGATTTTTGCCTTCCACAGAGTTAACATCCCATCCATATGTGGGCTGGTTTGCATTTTGAGTTATTTTAGTTCTCTATCTCTCACCCTTTTAACATGGCTTAGATCACAAATTTATCTATCTCATGAGGTAGTCAAGTATCATCCTCACTTTACAGAAAAGTGTTAACAGTACTTAGAGATACTAACAACAGCATGGATAATGACGCTCAGAGATGCTATTCCTTATTCCTGTGTCAGGATACTGTCTAGTGCCTTCGTGCTGTGTTCTACCATGCAGCTAGCAGGAGCTGTAACCAGTGCAGGTAAAATCCTAGACAGACCACAGTTAAGGAGTGGAAATGACTTCCCATGTTTCAGAACTGTGTTCTGAAACCCTCAAACGTCTTGATCAATCCTGATTTTAACCAGATCAGCTCCGCTCTTCTCTGCAGACTGGTGTTTGTAAAAGGAAGACTAAGTTACTGTAACTAAATAATTGAGTTTACAAATGTACCGTATTTCAACTCTCTTTCCAGCTCTGAAGACTAAAATGTTATTTCCAAAAATCAAAGTATTTGCATCTTACTTAACCTTGCTGTTTCATGAACAAATATGCTCTCATGAGTGGGATGGCTCAGAAGAAGAAATCTGTAAGAGTTAAGTCTGTTCTGGTTCTGTTCCTATGGGAATTTTGCAGACTTACCTCTGGAAGTTTGGTAGCTGTGTCAGCTAGATGCTGGCTTCAACAGAGATCATGTGCTCTTGCAGGCCAGAGAACTTGCAGGGCAAACACCCTGTCAACAGCAGTAAATTGAACATTAACAGCACACGCTAAATTTCTGTTCCTTAGTTTGAACTGCATACAAGTTTCCCTTTATGATTAAGCTCAAAGTAATCAGTATGTTGCTTAGGAACACTTACAAGTGGTTCTGACACACTTCATCCATTATGTTTTTTTTGTTGCTGTTCATTAATAGAGATGCCCTGGATGCCCTTGGTTTGAAGAGATACTGCTGCCGCAGAATGCTCCTGGCCCATGTGGATCTGATTGAGAAGCTTTTGAATTATGCACCCCTGGAGAAATGAGATAGATGAACAAAGCACCACACTGCAAACTACATGGAATTGATCGCTAATGCTGAACTTGAAAGTGGACTTCAGGTAGTAAAAGATGAAAGCCACCTGTAATGTAGCCATTGAGAGATGTTCACCTTCTGGAGAAAATACTGCCCCAACACACTAACCTCTTTCAAGGAAACAAAGGAAAGATGAAGTCCATTTGACCAAGATTTGGAGATGAAGTTAAATGTTTGGATGCTTCTTTTTTTTAAACCTGTGTTTGGAGTTGTTTTTGAACTTTTAGATGCAGCTGCCAGCAAAAAGAATTGTTTATTCGTATAGAGAGATTACTATATTTCATTAAAATGTTAAAGGAGGTCCTCCCCTGTAGACTTCCTACAGTTTCTGGACAGAGTGTGTGCTTGGATCTTGCCATTTGCTTGTGCTGGTTTCTTTGAGGTTAGGAGTACTATTAAGTCTGGTGCTTTTGCACTAGGCAGGCAGAGGGATTAGAAACATGGGACTGAAGCTCAGTGTTCCAGCAACAGGGAAGTGGGTAAATTTGGTAAGAATGAGGCATTACTGCTGAAAGCTGCTGGAGCCAGCAGAGCGTACTTCTCACTGCAGTTAAAGTCAATGTGTGGTCTCTATCCCAGTTCTTACGAAACACTGCAGCTGCTGTATTATAAAGAACAGGGCATCAGATGGTGCAGTGCCCTTCAGTTAGGTAAAACATGCATGAGTGTTCTATGGAAAGCACTTGATGTGAGAATTTACGCATGGTGGTGTGAACAGGAGCAAAGTCTTGATCTTGCCAAGCACCTGTACCTCCCTGTAGCTGGTACACATGCAAGCTTTCCACTTGCTTGTCATTTCACTGGCTTCGTGTTGTTCTGTGCAGGTGGTGTAGTACTGCCTGGTCAAATACAGCCTGGAGGCTGTCCTGGTAGAACCAAACACAGAGAGGTCAGCTGTACATACAGGGCTTGTGAAGGTTACCTGCATGGGGAGATGATAGGCACTGACTCTTCCAAAAGGTCTCACCTTCCTGTTGTGCTGTCGACTTGAAAGTTGAGCGTGTTTCATGCTGTTCTTCAACATCCAGAAAATGCATAATTCAGGTGGTGTGCAGAGGCAGACACATGCACCTTACCTGAAAATGAAGGAGGCCAATTCCTACATCTGTGAACGCTCAGGATTTTGTTCAAATGCAGCATTAGCCCATATGCAAATGTAGGACAAATCATCGTTACAGCAGCCTTTAGAAAACAGGCTAGAACAGATGATGATCCCTGAGCTTGCAGCCTGTTATTCCTTGGTACAGTAAAACTTTTGGCATTCACGTCTTGGCTGCTGGGTAAGAAGTATCTCGATTTTTTTCCCATAGTTGAAGAACCACAGAGAAGTTGAACAAAACCTGGGTTTCCAGGTCAAACATGTACACACAAACCTTGAAACTAGGTTGTCTCTCAAAATAAGTTGCAGGTCAGCTTGCCTTTGGCTATCACCCCACCAATCTTTACACTTGAACTTGCTTTTCAATTTAGTACAGGGCAATAGTAGATGTTTCCCAAATTAAGCAGTTCTTCACTGAAGATGTTTTAAAACCATATGCTTTATCCTAATGCAAAGAGAATTAAGCAATTAAATCTGGTATTCGTTTCATAGTTGACTGGGTAGCTCATGTTCAGCATGCCTGCTGTATTAGCTAGTTAAATGCACTTAAACAAAATTTCTCTTTCAAGCTGTTTTATAAAAGGGACACTGTAAAATATAGGATGACCTTTCCAAACTGAACTCCTGTAAGACATTTGTCCGTGTTCCAGTGGAGCGTTACATGGAGATACGTGCCAGGTTGCTCACAGAAAGATCAGAATGCCAGGCCCAGCACTCACTCGTGAGCTGTACCGAGAAAGCGCAGCAGCCCAGTCTGGTACATCTGGCAGAGGCAGCTGCGTGTTATGCCGTGTGGAAAGCTGTCCTGCATCGGTGCCAAAGAACTGGATTAGACAATCTGACAGGACTGTGCTTCTATCTGCAAAAGCAATTTTCTAATCTGGTTTTCTGCTTTAGAATTACATGTTTCTTCTCAAAGCTGATGCTGTTGTCCAATATGAAAAGCTATGGCTCTTAAACACAATGAAGATGCAATTTGCAAAAAACACAGCAGGCCTCATTCAAAAAATTGAAGGAAAAATAAAAACTGCCTTGGTTGCTCTCATTACTATTTCTCAGACAGAAAACATGGTGCAGAAGAAGACAGTGGCAGTCTGGTATCACTTTGTCAGACAGACGTTACAAAAAGAGCAGGAAAAAAACCTGAGCAGCGAGACTAAGCCACAGCAGGCAGTAATACTAGTTCCTGCAGCACATGGCTACCTCTCTGCATCACAGCCTTTCCTTGGGAGTTTGCACATGCAGCATTGACCAAAAAAAACCATTTCTATAATGTGGAGAAGCAAATGGTTTATCATGTTCATGAGAAAGGTTGTCTCAAGAGTTTTGTCCTTGGGAGGGTTAGGGACAGCAGCAGAGCTTAAATTCTGTTCTGTAAAGAGACAGTGAATTTTTCAGTGCATTTCTATAAATCCCAGCTTTCACCCCTGCTCACTGGTAAGTAAGAAAGTAATTCCCTGTCTGCTGTCATTTCTCCTGTGCTTGCTTCTGCAGCTGTTAATGACATAAGTGCATTGGATCTGCTTCTTAACCTGCTAGATCTCTTAGAGAAGAGCCACTAAATATGCTCACAACCACCAAATTGTTTAAAGCCAATGTGAAAGACATGTGTATACACGCACACACACAGAAAAAGCCTTGGTTTTCACTGAGTCCTAATAAAAAGGAACCCTTAGCAGAATCAACAGACAGGCAGAAGTGGCAAAGAGAGAAATTGTACTGAATATGCAGCCTTTAATTACATGTGGAAACCTGTCAACTGGAAGCTTGCTGAAAGAAAAACCCAACAAAATCCCACCAGTGCTCCGTAGTCATTCAGTCACTTCATATATAAAGCATTTTGTGAATTTTTCAAGTCTGTTTTGAAAGACTGTTGCAGGGCTCACACCTGCTACTGGAGAAGCAAGCAAGCACCACTGGAAGTATAACGGAAGAACCCCCAGTGCCCAGGCTGCAGCCTCCCAGGCCAGCACAGCATCAGGCAGGACTTTCACATCCCACTATCATACAAAAATAATGAAGTAGTGCCTGAGAAGCATGTGATGGGAGTTGAGGTCATGAAAGTAGAGAGGAATCTGCTCGTGGAGTCCAAAGGCAGGCTTCTACCTGGAGCATCAGCACCCAGGTATGTGTGTGTCTGGAAAGCTTTACATTTCTTGACAGTTTTAACCAAAATAAGAAACAAACCTCTTGCTCACAATTCTGAGTCCATATGCAGGAAGGAAGGGAAGTGCTTTCATGCCTGTCTGTAATGAGCCTCAAGCCTTATATTTCGAAAGCTTAGCTCCAAAAAATCACCCCTTGTGAGCATCGCACCCCAGGGTGATTTACTGAGAGATCTGTGCTGGGTTTTTGTCTTCCTGTATCCTCTACCTAAATGCAGCCTGTAACTGGATACTGAACTCTGACTTCTTGTCTATATGAAGTAAAACGGAACTCTGAAAGTCTTGATTGCAACCAGTGCACAAACCCATAGCTGTATGTTTCCATTGAAATGCCTAACTAGCCCTCTGACTACAAATCCAGATTTCTCTGGTAATGAACTATGAGGATCCAGAACATGAGCTACCTCTTTACCTGCAAATAGCTCTAAAGGAAAATACAATTTGGCCTTCCCTGAAAAAAAAAAAAAACAAAAAACAAAACCCAACACCACCAGCAAAACCAAATAGCCCATTTGCCTCTAAAAGCATTCCAAAATAGTTTCTAACTTCAATACCAATCCAAGTAAGAAAGTAGCACTTCTACTTAGTCCCCTCTCTGAGCAGATTCATGTACATCCATTTAATCATAGTTAGCCAGTGAGATTTTCTTACTCCTGGAACTTTTCAGTTGAGACATCTCCAAAATAATGTTACTTCCACCTGGCCCTTACTGCCCAGATGATGAGCACAGCTTTGATTTCCCCTTCAGTGCATTTCTGCCATGATTTACATTGTAGCTTTGTTTTCAGATCCAATTTTTATTCAATTCCTCCAGAAAGGAAAGCGTTTTTGATTGTTCAATAGGGACAGCACAATAGAGATGTTTGAAAACCAAGGACAGGAAGCTTGTAGCTGAGACTTCGGCTTTGCTGAGCTGCACAGTTTGATGTATTTCCCACTGAAGTCTGTGGGAGTCTTCATTAGCCTCAATGTGACTTAAAATGGCCTGGTAGCATAAGCTGCGTGCACCTCATGCACATAAGGCCATAAAAACAGGCAAGAAGTTATCTTTGGCTTCAATAACTCCAGCTGAGGGGAGCTGCAAAGCAACTGATTTCACCTTGGGCTAGTGCTTGGAAGCAATACAGTATTTACATGGGACTTAGTCTCATTTAAGCCCCCATCTCTTTCTCCTCGACACTCCCTTACAGAAATAACATAGGTGATGTAGAGCCAAGACTCACAGAGAGCATTAGCTTTCGCTTAACCCCTGATCTTATTTCTCCTTCACAAAAGCATGTCTTTCAGACTTTGTCAGTCACCCGTTCTGGTGACCTACATCTTGTCTTGTGCTTGTAGGTAACACATGGCTGGGGTGAAGACACGGACCTCCCAGGCATCACACGGGTTTCCCCGTAAGTTCCTTCCTGATGCATCTGCTCCCATAGCAAACATTGTGTCTTGTAACAGCCAAGCTAGAAAATTAATGCAGGAAAGTCCTTCACTTTTCCCTCCCAAATACAAAGGAAGTGTAGTAATAAAAGTGGTTCAGTATTTCCTGCTTTCAGAAGCTGAACAAATAGTGATCAAAGACAGGCATGGAACAGCAGACAAAAAGCTAAAAGCCTGTATGCTTTGGGGAGCACAAGAAACTGACAGTTAAAGCAAACTTCATAGCAAGCAGCAAAGGCTGTGGTCAAAACCTTCCACAGGCACTGATGATGTTGAATTAACCCACACACCCCAGGCTGGATTTGGAGCTAGGAAGAATGAATACTGAATACCTATTCTTTGGGAATCAGACCTCCTTCTTTTAAAAGCAGGTCTACTTGCAGCAATCCAAGGGATGAACTGCTTTAAAAAAAGTACGAAACAAATCACTGCCATGAGTAGGACAGCTGTGCTCAGCACCCACCTTCAGCTGCTAACCTTTTCTTAGGCTGCTGCTTTGCACATTTTCTAGTGGATCACCACAGTGGTATCTACAAGCTTTGAATTACTTCAGAGATTAACATAAATGTCACTGTCCTTACCAACATCTCTCCAGACACCTGATCCAAGGGCATGAAGCTCAATGGGAATCTTTGGTT